AGGGGTGCGACTGGCATCTAGTGGAGAGCCCAGGGAGGATGCTGAACACCCCGCAATGCCCAGCACAGCCCCACCACAAGGAGTTATCCCGCCCCAAATGTCAATAGTGCCACTGCAGAGAAACCCTGTTACAGACCAAGAAACTACACTCAGTAGGTGAACTTGCTTGTCAGAAGCAACCCATTTGTCGGGGTCAGAACCAAAGGCAGGTGCATGGGCTCCAGAATGTTCTGCTTCTGCCACACACCTGCCTCCCCAGTGTCTGTGTTCCCACAGGCTTCCCCACCTGCCGGCATCTTCAGGATCATACTCAGATGGTGTCTCTTCCCTGATCCCTCCTAAGTCTCTGCCCACCCACCGCACCTAAAGCTAGCTCACCTGCACCCTCACCTCCAAACTCACCTGCACCCTCGCCTCCAAACTCACCTCCACCCTCGCCTCCAAACTCACCTGCACCCTCGCCTCCAAACTCACCTGCACCCTCGCCTCCAAACTCATCACCCTCTCCTCCAAACTCACCTCCACCCTCACCTCCACCCTCACCTCCAAACTCACCTCCAGCCAGTCTTTGTTGATCCGACTGAGAAGGAAGATCATATCTCCAGCTTTGAAATTCAGCTCCAGTTTGCTGTTCCCGGTGAAGTCAAACATGGCCTGAGGAGAAGGGTAGGGTAAGGAGAGGGGGAGGAAACATACTGAAGTGCTTTACACACGTTGGAATCCCATTTTACAGATGAGGAAACTGAGGCTCACGGAGGATGAGTGACTTGTCTGAGGCCACCCTATTTCTTAGTGGAGCAGCTGGAGCCCGAACCCCGGTCTCCCTGACTCCGGAGTGGCTGCTCTCTCCAGACCTGGCGGGACGAGCACACAGGGGAAGGACCATGCACCTCCTCAGCCCCGGGCCTTGTATGGGCTCCAGGCTTCCCATAACCCCCCGCTGCTCTCTGCCAGGCTGACTTTAAGATGCCCGTATGTAAATGTCCAGGGGCTGTGAGCTCCTCAAAGGCAGGGCCTTGTCTGAGTCCTCCCTGCCACTTCAGTCTCCAAGGCAGGGCCGGCCCAGAGGTGGCCAGGGCGAGCTGGCTGGCTGAGCCATGGGTTCCCCTTAGCCTCTCCATGCTGCTCACGTTCCCTCCCCTCAGCTGGGGGGGGGGGGTGTCCCGTGTCAGAGGCTGGGCTGCAGCCCCTCACTTCCCCCAGTGCCCAGCACCACCCCAGGGACACTGAGGCGCCCAGCAGGCGGGGTGTGGTGGCAGACAGGTGGAGCAAGGCTGCTGCCCGATGGGGAGGGCCTGACGGGGGTACCTCTGCTCGTGGAGCTGCCATGCGGTCAAAGCCAGCGCCTTGCGGGGACATGCTCTTGCTGTGGAGAGAGAAGATTCGAGATTCTCTCTGGGCCCGGCTCCCTGCATCTGCACGCAGAGGAGACCCTCGCCAGGGGTGGGAAGAGGTGGGAGAGGGAGCGGGTGTCCAAACGCAGCTACGGTTGCTCCCCTGGGCCGGCACACGGGCCCCTGAACTCTCGCATCGCCCTGGAGGTGGGATGGCTCTTCACTCTTTTTTTTTTAAATATTTTATTTTTTTATTCATCCCAGAAAATCAAATTCAGCTGCTCATCAAAAAAAGAATAATCCATCTCGACCAAGTGGGCTTCATCCCAGAGAGGCTCCTTGCCCTTTGCGGACCGGGAGGCCGAGGCTCGGCGAGCACGTGGGAAGAGGACGCGCGTTTGCTCAGTGCCTTAACTTGCCAAACCTTTCGCCTTTGCTCCCGCGTCTGCTCCCTACAACCAACCTCTGCTGTAATTGTTATTCTACGTTTTCAGCTGAGGAAACTGAGGCTTGGGTGGTGATGTATCCTGCTTCAGGGCCCATGGCTGCCACGTGACACAGCTGGAATTCAGACTGCACCCACCCGGGTGCACAGGGGAGCCGCCAGCACAGTGCGGACACCTGGAGATACCGGCTGGAGGGAGGGCAGGGAGGAGCTGGGGGAGGGCGGGGCTCAGCTGTGTCCCGCTTTTCCTGGGATTCTTTTTTTTTTTTCGAGACAGAGTCTCACTCTCTTGCCTGGGCTAGAGTGCCGTGGCGTCAGCCTAGCTCACAGCAACCTCAAACTCCTGGGCAGACTCCTGGGCTCAAGCGATCCTCCTGCCTCAGCCTCCCAAGGAGCTGGGACTACAGGCACGCGCCACCGTGCCTGGCTAATTTTTTCTATTTTTAGTTGTTTGGCTAATTTCTTTCTATTTATAGTAGAGACGGGGTCTTGCTCTTGCTCAGGCTGGTCTCGAAATCCTGAGTTCAAGCCATCCTCCCGCCTCGGCCTCCCAGAGTGCTAGGATCACAGGCGTGAGCCACCACGCCCGGCCTTCCTGGGATTCTTGGTAGCAGCAACCTCCACTTTGGAAGCCCAGCACGATTTCAGTGGCTTGGATTTTGGGTGATGGATTTTTGCTTAGGAGGGGCTGAAAGGGAGGGGTGGGATCGTTGGAATACAGGAGCAGCAGCGTCCTGTGGAGGCCACTGCGGTGCAAGCAGAGCCACAGCCGGCCCCAGCGAGCTGTAGCAAGCCAGGGAGGAGGCATCCGTGTGTGGATTAAGTGGCTCTTCCCTCCTCTCTGCCCTCTACTCTTTCCAAGCACCCAAAGCTCTTGGGCCATCCCCATTGGCTGCTGTGACACCAAACCCTCCAGAGCCAACGTCCCAGTCCCTGTCCTCCAGCCCTCCCTATCACATCAAAACACACACCGTCTGTCCCTCCAGGCCCAAGGCCTGACCTTCCAAACCCACCTAACAAACCGAGCCATCCTGGAGTGTCCAGGGATGCACTGATCTGAGTCCTTCTCTCCTTCCGGGAAAAGAGATGACTTGCCAGCAGGGGCCCGGGGCTCTGGCCGGGGAGCGCAGGGGACGGTCACTTACACTTTCCGGGTGCGCGGGCGGAGCCGGCGGAGCGCCTGGGGCACCTGCTCCGAATCGTAGGGTGACTGGTAAAAGAAGATCCGGACGTCCTCGTCCATCAGCACCCAGACGGGCAGGCTGAGGAGGCCCTGTGCGGGAGAGGGCGCGGCCGGGCCGTGTCAGCGGAAGACCTGGGCGCCCAGCCCAGCTGCCCATCCCTGCCCCTGACGTCGGCCCTCCTCTCGCTAGTAATGCACCCTAAGCCTCTGCCTGAGAACAGAAATGCATAAATTAAACAAAACTTCAGCAGGCTGAAAGTTTAACACTTCACAAGCTTTGCTCCTGGGCCCAAGGCCAGGAGGGACCACTGGCATGAGAGCAGGAGAGCAGTCCATTTGGAGAAGCCCTAAAGTTCTCCAGAAACTACGATAAGGATGATGGGTAACACGACCTGACAGTGATTTTGCCAGGCACTGCCCTGGGTACCAGGTGTGTGTCCTTGCCACATCTCACGATAACCTGTGAGTTAGGATCAGAGAGGTGAAGGGACCTGCCCAAGGCCACACAGCCTAGCAAGTGACAGAGCTGGGGCACCCAGAGCCATCTGCTGTGAGAGCATGCCCCTTAGCTCAAGGTGAGACAATGGTGTGAGGGAGGGCTCCCACAGTAACCCAAATTAGTGACAGTTGGTGACATTACAGCCTAAAGAATGCCTCCCAGTACTTTATCTCATGTCACAGTTGGGGAAACTGAGGTTTGGAGAGGGAAAGTGGCTGGTCTAGGGGCAGAGCTAGGAAGTGGAGGGGTTAGGACTCAAGCTCTAATCTCCTCATTCCATCCCAAGCTGGTGACACCCACCACCATGCAAGGTCCCTGAAGCTGGGAGGACTCACGCACCCAGAGCCCATGGGAGGACTCACGCACCCAGAGCCCGGCGGCGTCCCCACCAAGCGCCAGGCTGCACGAGCTCCAGGAACTCTGGCTCTGGGTGACAGAGGGTCCCGTGGAGGCAGCAGGACAGGGAGGGGCCAGGGAACTCCATCCCAGAGGAACAGGAGATGGAGAACTCGGAAAAGGCTGTCGTGCGGGGAGGGGCAGAAGGCAGGTGTTTAAGGAGACAGGTGCTCACGGGATCAAATCCCAGCTCCGCCACGCACCAGCCGGGTGACCTTGGGCTAATGTGGCTCTGGCTGCCCATTAATAAAATGGGGATGATAATAGCAACAGCTCCCTCATGGGCTTGTGTGGAAATTAAATAAGTAAATATATGCACAACGCTTAGAACAGCACCAGGCACGTAGCAAGTGCCCATCTAAGTTCAATATTATCATTGTTGCTGTTATTTTTATTACAACATAGCACAGCGGGTAGGAGCTGAAACCCTGGAGTCACAGAGATGTGGGTTCAAAGCCCATCCCTCCTACCTAACTGCTCTGTGACACTGAGTGACTTCCCCTCTCTGTGCCTCTATTTCCTTAGCTGTAAATGGGGATAATAGTATCTAACTCACAAATGATTGAGGGGATTAAATCAGACTATTCATTTATCCATAGACACGTATCAAGAGCCTCCGGGTTGCCTGCCCGAGCACTTCGCACCGTTTCAGGCAGTTGTCATTATCATATGCAGTTGTCATTATCACATGACTCATATTCTTCATGAGTGGGTAGATGTTACAGAAAATCGGGCTTTCCTCATAGCTGCCCAACAATGGCACAAGCAGCCTAGGTCAGGGCAGAGTGGTAGTGAGCTCTCCGTGTCCGGAGGTGTGCAAGCACAAGATGGGGTTGCCATAGCAGAGATTCCTGCACTGACTGACCTCAGGTTTCTAGGAACCCAATCAGACATAAGTAGGCAGAGATGATGGGGTCCTCTGGGCCGCTGGCTGCTAAGACCAGGTGTGGAGTGAAGAGCCCCAGATCCCCGGCCTCTCTTCCCACCTTGTTTTCCTCCCTCCCTCCCTCCCGGCAGAGCCCACGCCCCTCTTCCAGCCCAGAGGGCAGAGGATGGAGCCTCGGCTTCCAGGAGCAGCTGTAGCAGCGCCCCCTTGAGGCGAGATGCCTCCAGTGCGGGTTCCCCTCCCTGCTTCCTCCTCCCTGCTCAGAGCCCAGATCACTGCAGCCACCTGCCCTCTCCTCCCTCCTCCCACTTCTTCTGCCCTCCTCCCGCTCCCTCCCTCCACTAAGGGTCAAGAGTTCTCACGTCTGGAAGCAGGTTCAAACTTTACAAAGCACTTTCACATCCTTTTCTCGGTAGTCCCACTTCACTCCCATGAGACCAGAGGGCAGGAGGTACCGTCCCATTTCATAGGTGGGAAAACCAAGGCCTAGAGAGGATAGGCAATTTGCCCAAATCATCCAACCAGTCATTGTCAGAGCCAAGGCTAAAGAGACTCCTAGTTCAGTGCTCCTCAGCCCTGAGGACGCCTGTCATCTACTAGGAGGGCTTCCCTCACCAGCTTCCCGAGGTTGCCCCCAGTGACAGTGAGCTCACTACCTCATGAGGAACACTGCACCTTTTCTGGACGGCGCTGACTGGTGAAGTCCTTTCCTGACCACCTTGGCCTCTGCCTCTAAGCTGTTCCTTCCTCTGCACCCTCATTTCACAGGGACGCTGACAGTTTGCAGTTGAGGAATACACCAGGGTGCCCAGCCAAGACCCGTGAGTGCAGCCAAAACCCAGCCCATGCTCAGGTGAGGGGTGTGTGTTGGCCTAGAGGAGACCCTCTCCAGTTTGCACGAATGTGCTGTGTGAGAGAGAGATCGTGGCCAGGTCCGCCACGCTCCGGTTATGTAGACACATGTTTGCCACCCAGTGATTTCATAATCCACCTGCCGGTATTCCTGCCAGGCAGGGGGTACGTCAGAGGCAGGCACGGCATCCATTTCCCCGGCATCCAATTCCCCGCTCATCCTAACGCCCAGCGCAGACACTCGCCTGTGGGCTTGGAGCACCGAGTCAAGATTCGTCAATTCAAAGTGTGTCTCCTTGTACCGTCTCTGTTGCTCCTGCCTCAATCCCCAGAACCCAGAGCACACATCCTGTTTCTCTCCCCACGCCATGGGAGCAGGAGAGCCAGCCCCAGTGCCCAAAGCCGCACCCTGGGGCGGTGCCTAAGCTACCCACCCCCAGCACCCCACGCCCTCCCAAGTGCCGAGAGGACCAGGCCCACCGATACCTTCATGTAGGCGTTGAGGGCGGGTATCCTCATCTCGGCGATCTCCTGCTTCACACCCACGTAGACTTTGGCTGAGGAGGCAAAGAGCTGTCCTAGGAGCCGGGCCCCACGTGTCCTGGGCCCGGGGCTGCCCCTGCAGGCCAGGAGTCCCGGCCAGAGCCCCTCCCTGCCGGCCCGGCCTCCTCGTGATCTTCTCTCGCAGGGCAGGGCAGCGGTCACGCTGGCTCCATCCCACCATGCAACTTGCATTCTCTGAGTCACACTGTCACCAGCCGATAGTTGTCTTGTTTTTGTGTTTGTTTATTGCCTGTTGCTCCAGACACACACACACACACACACACACACACACACACACAGGATTCTTATTTTCCAGAGAACAGGATCTTTGCCTGCTCTGCTCACGGCTGCATCCCCGTCACCTGGGACGGTGGCTCAGTCCCAGCTGCACATTCAAAATCTCATTGTGTAGGAGTCACCCCGGAACAATGAAATCAGAGCCTCTGGGTGGCTCTCGGGAATCAGGATTCTGTCACTCTCTCAAGGAATTTCCAGTATGCCACCAAGGCTAAGAACCAGGGGTCTAGAATCGTGCCCAGATGAATAAATATTTGTTGAGTGGATGAAGGAACAATTCCCCAAACGCAAGGCAGAATGTCCTGGGGGAAGGGGAGACTGATGGTGACCGACCAAGAGATAAATGTCCCCTCCAGGAGCCTTCAGGCAGGGGCACTGGGGGAGCCAGTCACCCAAGCGTGAGGCCTGCCTGGCCGCAGTGTCCATGGGACAGGCCGGGGTGGTGTCGGCGGTGGCAGGAGGGTCTGGGCTAGAGCCAGACACGTGGGAGTTAGTGGCAAGAAGGCGACCCCAGGCGTCAGCTTGCCCGGGCGAGTGTCGGGATGAGAAGACAGAGGACGGGGCCTGTCCGAGTGTCGGGATGAGAAGACAGAGGACGGATCTGTCCGGAGGCTGCCGCCCTCCAGGAGCAGCAGGGAAGGCGGATCCAGGAGTGGGGGAGTTGGAGCAGGAGCCAGGAAGGTGGGGAGGGAATCGGAGACGCTGCCGCCATAGAAGGTTGAAGGAAACGTGACGGAGGGAGGAGCGGGGTGTGAGGACAAGACCCAAAACGAGCCCACGGAAGCCAGAACTGACAGGTCGCAGCCTCTACGCCGAGAGGAACGTCACCGGGACAGGGAGAGTGTCGTGTGCGCTCGGGAGGGAGCCGGGCGGGGCGCGGCCCTACCTGGGAGCACGGGCAGGCTGCAGGCCAGGGGGCTCTTGCTCTCCGGCCCGAAGCGCTCCTCCAGCTTGCCCTGCAAGGCGTAGAACTGGCGGTAGCGGCGGTAGATGAGGTACTTGGAGCCCCCCTTTGTCTTCACCTCGATGACGAAAACCTAGGACAGAAGAAGCCAGGCGGCGGGGCTCAGAGGCCAGAGGCAGACGCTAAAAGGAGAGGGTGAAGGGCCGGAGGTCAAAGGGGTAGCGCAGGGCTTCCCAGCCTCGGCACTACGTTGGGGCTGCATGGCGCTGCGGGGGGCTGTCTGTGCTGTGACCCGGCCTCTGCTGCCAGGTGCCAGGAGCAGCCCTGCCCCAAGATGCGGCAGTCAAAATGTCTCGGGGTGTTGCCAAATGTCCCCCGGAGGGTAAAATCGGCCCTACCGAGAACCACTGAGATAGAAGTTCGGAGATGAGAGAGTTGGAGGTGCAGAGGTCAGAGGGTGAAAGTTCAGAGGTCAGCTGGGTGGAGGTTCAGAGGGTGAAGGACCAGGGGTCTCTCTTACAAAGTGGCTGGTGAAGCCTCTCTTCTCCTCGATGTCGGCGATGTTGGCTGAGACGGCAACGTCATCCGGAAGCTGTTCAAAGTCGCTGCGGGAGGCCGGAAAAGGGACCCTGGTTATCACCCTGGCGCGTGCCGCAGCCCGCTGGGTGCAAGACAGTGCGCAGAGCAAGCCACGTGCAGCTGGCCTCCTCGTCCACACCCCTCCCGCGCCGGGCCCCGTCGCTCTCGCGGGGAACACAGACAGCAAGACACAGGCCAGGCCCCGACAGCAAAGGCTTTGACGCTGAGGACCGTGAACCAGTAGCCGTATTACGGCCCAGCAAACCACTGTGCGAACGCATCCACGCGCCCAGGAACCATGTATCATGCCCCTCCTCCGTCCCGGGCCCTGCCCTAGGCCCTGGGTCTCAGGGTAAGCGAAGTCAACACGCACCCTGGACGGAGTACTGTGAGCCCCGTGGAGAGAAAGGCTGATTGCGCCCAGGCTGGGGAAATCCACAAAAAGGAGGTGACACGTGGGCCGGGTCTGGAAGGTCCAGCAGGAACCCACCCGGTGGGAAACAGGGCAGGTGTTCCAGGCAGTGGGAGCAGCATAGCCTGAAGAGGGCCCGGACCTGGAGTGAGCTGAGACAGCCCGTCTGAGGAGGGTCTCAAGGGCCGGGTCAGGAGCTTCCATAGGCAATAGGGAGTCATGCCCGGCTTTGGAGCGAAGTAAAACAAGATACACAATCCTGGCTGTAGGAGGCCGACCGAGGCAGCCGTGTGGACAGGAAGAAAGGGACAGAGACTTAGGGGAGAGCACCGCTGGGAGGCCTGGATGTGGTCCAGCTGGGAGATGACATGGGCCTGAGTCAGACAGCAGGGACAGGAGGAAGGGACAGACACAGGGCCACCACCCTTGGCAGACACTGTTAGCATTTGCTGTGTCCCCTGCTTCTTCTTGACTAACCGAGCACCAATTGTGTTCAGAGTGGCAGTGTGCCTAGGTGGTAGGTCATGGTTGGTCTAGCCAAACATAACAGTCCTGTTCCTGTTCCCGGCCTCCCTTGCAGCTAGGAGAAGTTCTAGCTGATGAGACATAAGAGGAAACCTGATGCTGGAGCCTCTCCAGAGCGTTTGCTTTCCTGATCCTGAGGATGGACAAGAGCAGCACAGTTTCCTCCCTTGAAGGCAGCCTTGAAAGCACATTCGACATCCGGATCTGCAGCAGCCATATTGTATCCACGAGACAAAAACATGAGGAAGACTATAGGATTCTCTGGGATGCTGGTCCTGAAGTCACCTAGCTGCAGAACCAGCCATGGCCTACCTCTGGACTTCTTGTTATGGGGAAAAATAAGCCCTGTTTGTTTAAGCCACCGTCAGCTCCTCTGTTCCCTGCAGTCTGATACATTTCTAGCAGACACATTACTCATTTGCAAGTTGTTCCTAAGTTACAGCCAGCAGGCATTGGGCACTGTTTGGATGTAGGAGTGAAAGAAAGGGCAGTGTCAAGAGTGACATCCACACTTCTGACCAGGATGGGGAGCACGGGGCAGGGTTGATGGACTCGGTTTGGGACATGCTAATTTGAGAGGCCTCGTGGGCACCCGGGTCAATGGCTGGCAGGAAGCTGGTGTGTAGCTCTGGCGCTCAGCATGGGGGTCTCAGCTGGAGTGGGAGGGTAAGAACCATCTGCCTGCGGCTTGTGGCTAGGACCCCCAGTGGAAAGCTGTCAGCGAGCCAAGGAGGGGCCGACAGGGACAGACAGAGAAAGAGAAAGCAGACGGCCAAGGAGAGGGAGAGGGTACAGCCAGGGGTCACTGAGTCCAGCCACTTGTAGGCAGATGAAGAAACAAGAAGCAGTTATGATTCTTCTAGGGCAGCGATTGGGAAACAGGGCGAGGGCAGGAACCGCCGTGTCCAAGGCCTCAGGAGTCCACACACCCTAGACCCAGCCCACACTGGTCCCGCACGACCTGGGACCCTCAGGCTGCATCAGAACTCAGGAAGCCGCCAAGCAGAGGTGACTCAGGGTGGCAGTGGGTGGGCAGAGGAAATCCCCCCACCCCAGCCCCAGGGCATCTCGGTGGCTGCTGGCCATGTCCCCACTCACTTTCCCCACTTGCATGGGGACACCCTTGGGAGAAGCTTCCTCCTGCACTTTCTCCCCTGAGGCTCTGCATTTCATGGGTGGCTTCCTCTGCAGTGTGACGGGGGCGGGGCAGGAAGGAACCGGGAGGGTAGACATGGCCCTGGGCAGGGAGTCAGGCAGGTTGGATAATGAGAGCTACCACTCCCCGTTTCCTAAGTGCACACCCTGCACCAAGCACTCTTCTAAGGCGAGGTCGCCTTGGTACAGACAAGGAAACTGAGGCTCAGAGAGTCAACTAACTTGCCCAAGTGAGTCGGGAAGCTGGGATTTGAACCCAAGCAGTCTGGCTCCAGAATTTTGCTTCCAAACGCTGTTCCACTGCCCCCCATTCTGGCTCCCAGCAGCTTGCTGCATGGACTTAGGTAAATCCCAGCCCTTCTCAGCCTGTGTCCCCTTCGGAAATAACAGTATGAATAACTTTAGCAAATCCTTATGTAGCACAGACAGTATTGCAAGCCCATTAGGACCTTTGTGCTTCTTGGACCTTGCAGAGTAGAGCGTTGAACACTGAACAAATGACTACGTAATTTGAATGGTCGTCGAGCCACGAAGGACTAGCACATGGTGTTTTGAGCTACAGCAGGAGCCTGGCCATTGCTGTAGTCCCTCAGAGAATCAATATTGCAGCAGGCAGCAGAGACGGGAGCTGGCATGTGTGCAATGAGGCTCAGGCGCTGTCAGAGGGCAGCAGGGCACCCTCAGGCTGAGGGCAGTCAGGGAGGGCTTCCTGGAAGAGGCAGCACCTGTAGTCAACCATGGCATGGTAGGAAAGGCCTTTCGGCAGGGGGAACAGCAAGTGCAAAGCCCGTAGCCACGCAAGAGGGAACATTCAAGGACCTGTGGGCTGCTGAGCATGTGGGAGCACAGAGCATGGGGCGCAAAATGAGACTTGAGCCAGAGAGAGGCAGGGCACACACTCGAGGGAACGTTGTGCCTCGCGGAGGTGCTGTGAGTTTGCCCTGGGGTGGGGCGCCGAGCAAGGGGCTAAGCAGGGCAGACGTCAGCAGAGGGGCAGGCACAGGGACAGCACTAGAAAGAGGAGGCCAGATTCCCTCTGGAAGATTCCCGTCTGCATGCTGCCTCCTTCTCCTCCTCTGTAAAATGGGGACGGTATGTTTTTGAGTGGTCATGAGGTCCCATCTGTACCAAGCACAGCCCTAAAATCCCCACGAGGGCAGACACTCTGCTCACGCTGTGTCCCCAGTGCCCAGAGCAGGGCCTGGCACGTAGTAGGTGCTCGACACATGGCTGCTACCCCCACTGTGTTAGCGAGGCCCCTGGTCGGCACGGGGGTGGGCACGGAGGCTGCTGCACAGGGACGCAGCGGGGGTGCAGCAAACCCAACAGGAAGTCCCCTGGCGTAGCTGCTCCCTCGGAGACCTCGCCCAGGCCGGGCGGGTGGCGACGCTTGGGCCCAACACACACTCGCGCTGCTCGTGGAAAGTCCACTTGGAGTCTCCACTAGGGGAGGCCGAGGGTTGGAAGGGCCCTTGGAGGGCGGCTAGTTCAAGTGTTGTGGCACCTTGCGCACAGTAGGTGCTCAAGACACGTCTGTTGGAACCCAACTGTGCCACCCCTGCAGCAGCCCTTTCTGTCCTTGGATGTCCTGGGGTTCTAGAAAGTCCTGCTGTGCGGACCTGCGCCCTCTCACTGTGGCGTGTGCCTCGACCTCAAGCAGAACCGCCAGGCTGCTGTCAGTGGGGCGTCCGGGGTGCAGGAGCGCACAGGCCCCGTCCCTCTCTGAGGGTCAAGGGAGTGGGAGGGAGGGAGCACGCAGTCCTGCTGGCCAGCCTTGGCGTCATCTCCTGAGCCCTCTACCCCGAAAGCAGGAAGTGCCCCAAGCCTCAAACAGCTGCCCTTGCTGGAGGAAAAGCCTTTGCGCGTCAGGCCGGTCTCACGTGAGAACTGGCAGGAAGGAGGAGTCTGGTTGGACAACCTTGCCCAGCCCCCAGCACCACCCTCTGGGGCTCAGGAGGGCCATTCTGACCCCGTTTGCTTCTGCTGCTCCTCCCCACCCCGCAAGCCTGCACTCGACCTTCGACCTCCGGAAATTACACCCCAGGTTCCAATTCCAGCCCCAGGCCCCCCACTGGCCCTTTGCAGCCCACTTAGGCCCAAACCAGCCTGACCCCTCTCTGCTGGCCTCCACACAGAGGACAGGGGCATCCACCTCCAGATGTCACCTGCTATTCCAACCCAGGGGGGCAGGAGCCACTCTCTGTGTCTTGGGGCCCCCGCAGCTCAGAGCACAGACCTGACTGCTGAAGAAACATTCAGAACATGCTTGCTGAGAGGGAGGCTGCACTCCAAGCCCCAGCCTTGCGGTCACTCCACCTGACCCCAAGTGGGTCCTTTATCTTCCCTAGGCCTCAGTTTCCCCATCTGTGCAATGGCAGGGTTGGACTAGAGGAATCCAGGACACTTTCCAGCTCAAAGATTCATTCATTAATTCATGCAGCTACATTTATGGAGCACTTGGTATATACTGGCGCTGTTCTAGATCCCAGAGATACAGCAGTGATGGCAACAGACAAAAACCCTCACAGAGCTTGCTCCTAATTGGGGAGCTAAGGTTAAAAAAAATAAAAATACATGAGTAAATAATATCATGCCAGTAACATAAGGACTGTGCGTAAAACGAAACAGGGCAAGGGATCAGAGAGCAATGAGGTAGGCACTGTCAGGGAAGGCTTCTTGGAGGAGGTGGCACTTGAACCAAGCGCTGAATAAACAGGGAGAACAAACCAGATGCTGTGGCTGAGTTTGAACAGAAGATGGGAAGCCGTCACTGACCACAATGAAGAGCAAAGAGCCCCAGCCTGGGACCCAGGACACCTGCGTTCCCATCCAGACACTGCCGCCCACTCGCCCACTCGTTGTGTGACCCTGGGTCAGTCACTCCCCCTCTTCGAGCCTTGCGGTTCTCATTTGTGCCTGGGGGTGGTGAGTCGCAACTCGAAGTTTCCTTAAAGCACTTCTAAGAGTCCTCATTTCTGAGTATTTGGGTTCTGACTCAACCCCAGCCTCTCCTGTCCATAAGGGGCTGCAAGAAGGGCCAGCCCTGACCCCAAGGCCTGCCAGGAGCAGTGAGGGGGCCCGGGGGGCCAATGCCCCAGCACTCACCTCTCGGCCCGCAGCTGCTGGGCCAGGGCCATGGCGGGCAGTGTCCAGGGGAGCAGGTGGAGGAGGGTCTTGCCCAGCCAGGCCCAGGCTGAGTTCACCTCTCACTTCCTCCAGCCGCCCTGCCCTGCCGTCTCAGCCTGTGGTCCTGGGAGTCCCCAGCCGCTGCCTTTAGGAAGGCTCCCCGCTGCTGTCTCCACTCTAGGAAGGCTCCTCCTCCCTCCTCCTCTGGCTGCGTCTGGCCTGCGGCCTGCACTTCCTCTTTCCGCCTTCCCAGCTGCACAGCAGTTGAGGAAGTGCCCACCCTCGGGTGCCAGGTTTGCGGGAGTCCACTTCCTCGATGCCCGTCCCTGGTGCCAAGCCTCGGTGGGGTTTCGGAAGCCCCGCTCCATCAGAGGTGGGGCTCCCCTGCTGACTCAGCCACCAAGGGGCCTTGTGACCTTGGGGAGTCACTTCTCTTCGTCTGGTCCATCGAACCCAACCCTCCCTCCCTCACTGCCATGCCTTTGCCCAAGCTATTCCCCAGGCCGCCTTGCCTGTCATCCCTGAGGCCCAGGACAAATGTCACCTCCTCCAGGAGGCCCCCGGTTCCCCCGACCTCCATTGTACTGGAGTTTGAATGTTGCTTTATGCTCCTGTCTTGCCCTTACTCCGGTGCTCGGGGCTGTCCTTTCCTCACCCCCAGACCCCGACGCTCTCCACAGGGCTGCCACCTGGTGGCACACCTCCCTGCTTAAACTCTTCAACAGCTTCAGCCTGTGCTCAGAAGAAAGTCCAAACTCACCCTATGTGTCTCCGAAGCCCTTGAGGCCCTGCAGCCTTTCCCAGCTTCCTCTCCCGAGCTCCCCGCTTCTCACTGGCCTCCTTTCCACTTCTAGAATGCTCCAGGATGCCTGCCCCACAGGGCCTTCGTGCACGGAGTTCCCTCCGCTGGGATGCCCTCTCCCCTGCCTCCTCTACGCCTTGCCCGGAAGCCACCTCCTTAGTGAGGCCTCCCCTGACCCTCACCCTAAATGAAGGCCCTCCCTGTTCCTTCTCTCCCGGTCCCCGTGCCTTGACTGCACAGCACTGATAAGTACTGTGATTTCACACTCGTGTGTGTACCGACGTGCTTGATGACCGCCTCCCAGCCTGCAAGGGGCCCGCACATGCAAGCGCTCAACAGGTATTCAGTGAACAAATGGAACCTTCTAGCAGGTGGCTATTTGGTTCTCAAAGGAGCTCTCCCAGAGGAAGTCCACAGGAGGGAGGGGTATGGCCACACCCAATAGACCCCGACAGGTCACACGCACACTCGCGTCTGCACTCCTGTGTTGCAGGCGCAGGGCAGAGAGGCGGCGGAGGGCGGGTGCGGGAGCAGCCAGGCCTTAGCAGCCACGAGGGCCACTAAATGTGCCTCTCTCACAGGCAGCCCTTCTTTGCCCTCAGCCCATGCCACATTAGGAACCCCAGGACTTGGACAGGCATCTGTGGGGACAGAGCCAGCCCAGTGGAGCCTGGAGCCAGGGTCTCCCACTCCGGGTCTCTCACTTCCCAGAGAAAAGGACCAGGACAGGAGCCATTCTCAGGATCCCTAGGGCTGTCTCCAAGAGTGGAAGCTTCGAGCTCTCCTTTGAACCTCTTCCCTGCTCTACCCAGCCACCCACGAGACCTTCTGCCCCAGATGAGCTCAGGGTGGAGCCAGAGTCCCCAGGATGGACGTGCTCTGGCCCAGCCGGCAGCCCTGACCCAGTGAGGGTCCCCCTCATTTCACTCAGCCAGGCCAGGGACAAGGGCTCTTCCGAAACCGGGATCCTTTACGGACCCCTGGGGAGGCAGAGGCAAAGTCAGAGAAAGACAGAGAAAGGGACAAAAAGAGAAAAATGGAGAGATATAATCAAGAGCTCTTTCCTGAACAAGGCACCTAGAATACAGAGATAAAGCAAGGTGGCAGGGCGAACAGAGGGTGAAATTTCCATCCTACTCAAGCATACAAAAAATGCTGGATAACATGTTTGTTTGTTTGCTTTCTTAAAGTATTTTAAACATAAAAATCCCAGCTCAAAGAAAAAAAAAGTGTAATTTGCGGGTTCTAAGAGAGGGGCCGGGAACTTGTACCAGTGCAAGGGGCTTGTGGCCCAGAGTCCCTGGGGAAGCCAAGGGCGGATACAGATTGTTGGGGCTGAGATTTTAAGGCCTCATTTGGGACTAGGTCCGGGCCATGGTCCTGCTGCTGGTAGGAAGTCAAATCTGAGCTCCCAGCGGGAAGTCGGGTGTCAGAACCGATTATGGGAGCAGAGTTTCTCAGCTGCCAGCCTGGCACCCCTGCAGGAGTCGAGGGGCTCTCCCAGGCCACGCGTGGAACGAGGGGCGCGTGTACCAGATCGGAGCCTCGAGCCTGACACACGCGCTGGTGCGAGGCCCCGACGTGCGCTTCCCACGTGGTGCCGGAACCCTAAGCTGAGCGTCACGTAAAAGCAGCGTGGCGTCCGGAGTCTGCAGGGGCTGCCCCCGAGCTCACAGACCACTTGCAAACCACTAGGGAAGCTCTCACTGTGAAAGAAAGTTCGCAGATTCTCCACGTACTGACGAGTTCACACCTGAGGGACCAGGAACGAGACAGTGACCGTGGTGAGTCACTGGCGTCTCAGGGCTTCCAGGCTGGAGGGTGAAACAATTAGACAGCAACAGCAGAACAGGGTCTCGGCGGCAGGTATCTGTAGGTACCGAGCGGCCCAAGCACCTGGCCCTGACTAAGGAAGAAGAGGACGTTGGCCTACGGTTGGTCAGGAAAGACAGGAAATGGTGGCGAAACGGTTTCAGCAAGAAAGTATGATCCACGCCGACAGGTGATTGCGTAAACAGTGAGTGTAGCGTGCGTGCATAGCTGAAAACACATATTTGTGTATAAACGCAACTTGCGTAGGCAAGCGCGAGTGTGTTTATGTTGTGTCTAAAAAAGAGCCTTAATGTACGTCGTGGTGACCTGTGAGTATGAGAGAATGTTCTGAGATGCTCGGATCTAGGTGGGCACGTAGTGAGTACGAACGCAAGTACTTTAGAGCACGTGAGCGCGGGCAAGCTGATAGGTCCTCTTTCATCCCTGCTTTACTGACCTGTAAAAGAGGCTTGATTCATGGGATCGTAGTAAGAATTAACGAGGAAAATGTGTGAAAAGTGCCTGGACACGGGAATTTCTTATTCTTTTTCATAATTTTCAGTGTGTGTATCTTTGTGCACGCGTGTGTGTGTGTGTGTGCGTGTGTTTTGGGTAGGACAAGCCCTCGAGTTCACCTTCCCAGATTTCTCCAAGTCTTGCCTTCCCATACCCCTGTCCCCACACCACCAAGAGGCCTCCTGTGGCCCTGGCTCAGCCACCAGGCAGCCACCTGTGCAGTGGGGGACAACAGCATCCAGGGAAGAGCCCAGCGCCTGCCGTGGGCCACCTCTTTCCCTCCCCCACTCTCGCTCCCTTCCTTCCGTCCCTGCCCGCGGTTCTGCTGAATACAGGTATTTCTTTGGTTTCTCATACACAGGACGCTGCTGCTAATTTTATGCCCGAGCTCTGATATGGTGTAATTTGAGGCCAGACACTCTGTCAGCAATAGGCTCCCATCCTGCTGCTGCCGCAGGGGGTGGAGGGGGCGGAGGAATAGTCTAGAAGAGGAGCCAACCTCTTCACACATTCCATTAAGCAAGTATTTATTGAGCCTTTCTGGGAGGTACAGAGAAATGCCTGAAGTGACCTCTTGCACATGGAGACTTAACTTTTGATAACGCTCACTCCGCAGGGGCTGTGAGTAAACAGCAACAACAACAAGGCATTGAAGGATGGGAACTGGCAGCTCAAAGCCCATGCACGGACGGACGCTGGCATGCTTTATTCACAGAAGAGAATACCTCTGGCCTCCCTTCCCGCCTGGTTCCTTTGAGAGCAGCCCCAAACCTGACAACTCAGAGATCAGAAGCAGCCAGTTGGGGGCAGGAAGAAAACTGCTAGGGGTGTCAGAAGCAAATGACAGTTAAGTGACGGCCTGACAATGTTGAAGAATGCTGAAAAAAATGGACTCAAGAACTCAAAAACAAATAGCAGAGGCCATTCAGAGAAGGGGCGTCTCTGCATTGCATAAGCTACCGAAGTCCCTCCATAACCATGTCTCCAAGAAAAGGTTTAATACGCTCATGTCATACCTGGGGAGGGTGTCCCCAGAGCTCAGTGGGCACTGGATGTGCAAATCACAAAAATGCACAGCACCTTTCAAACCTTCCGCATGCAGGCGCTGGGGTGCACAATGGAAGATATCACCCCCTTTTTGGAGATAAGGAAGCCTGCCTCTGAGCTCCAGCCACGAGAACGGAGTGCCAGCTACTCTCCTGGGGAAGAGAACTGGACTAAGCAAGATTCCTGGGGATCCCTCATGCACCGAATTCCCCAATCCTGACCCACATGTGTCTCCTTGTATAATTTATGAGGGGAGCTTGGCTGGCCCTCCTCCCTGAGCCATAAATAGCTGTCCCTGGCAGGCCCCCGTGCGGTACTGGGAGACAGGGAGGGTGTAGATTGGCCCATTAGACAGCAAGCTCCCTGCAGCCAGAGGGCTTCTCTGGGAAGCCTGGCACATAGCATAGCGGGAGCTGGGACCCACGTGCCCTGGCTGTCAATCACTAGCTCTGCAACCTCTCTGACAATCAGTTCCCTAGTTGATTTTTCTAAATGGAGATAATAATATTTGTTTTAATAGGACTATTGTATTATTCATTCGTTCAAAATGCATTGAGCACTTGCTGTGTGCCGGACACCTACTGCGCGCCAGGCTCCAAATGAAATAAAGTCGTTGTTCTTGTGACACTTACCTACTAGAGGTGTGTTAAATAAGGCAATGAATGTCAAGTGCTTAGGACAATGCCTGGCACGTAGTAGGTGGTCAGCAAATTACAGGTGTTAATGTTGTTATTCTCGATGATAATTTCCTTGGTTTGGCTTGGTCCCTTTCCCTCCCTTTTCTATCTCCCTCTGCACACCTTGCTCCTCTCCATCATCCAACTTACATTCAGTTCTAAATTTTTTCCAAGTCTGTCATCCACTGTCACCACGCGGGGGCATGGTGATGCTCACTTCACTAGTGGAACCGGCTCTGCACTTAATCAAAATGTTGACGGGAATGGACCACCAGGGGGCGCCGTGACTCGGCAGCCGAGTTCCCGCTCTGCAGCGCCACCTAGAGGATGAATGTGGTGAGC